AAGATCGTAGGGCCATGAAATTTGTCAGGTCCATGTAAGCTTCGTCGAGACTCATTTTGCACAGATCTGGATCATAGTCAGATAGGATTTCGGTGATCTGGTCGCTCACCTGGTGATATTTACGAAAGTTGCATGGTACAATAATCAGATCCGGACAAAGCTTCTTGCCGATGAAGCCGGGCATCGCCGCACGGACGCCAAACTTCCGGGCAGCGTAATTAGAGGTACTCTAATATGGAAGAATAACACGTACTCAAACCAGATACTGTTGCGTATTAAAATACCAACATCGAGTAGCTTCCAACGGCCATCGGCACGTGCCTCAATTTTCGGTCGTCTCGCATTTCAACGGCAGCGTAAAACGCGTCCATGTCCAAATGCATAATAACTTTGCTCAGATCACGTTGTTCTTCTAAAGTCTTCGCATAGTGATCCGTCTAAAATATGACAAAATTTTAAAGATTATGTTAAAACAGGCCAAAGCTGCACTGTCTAGCGATATCAAGCCATCATAAAAATATTACAAAGCAAAACATTAACATGAAATATTCGAAGCGAATGCTTCATCTATAATGATCTCCGAAAATGTTAAAAATCACAAATACATTTGTTCAGTGCCCTATGCTAAATTAACTGACTTTTGGCACTGCACGTTTAAAAATACAGTAGTAGACAAGCTTTAATATTTACCATGACCCTGAATTTACCTTACCACCAAAGTAAATTTTTTTGTATTTCGCTAAATAGGGTTTACTAGTCTTAGGCAACCAGCGCTTCTACAGTTGTCCGCTTCTTAATATTGACAGCTACCATAATCATGAGATTGTAGCAAAATGATATACCACAACCTACTTAGCACGGGGTGTCCTATTCTAATCATTATGTGTTATCTCTGATTTAGATAAACAGTACAATTACGGTTCGTCAATGCAGTGTGTCAACTGTATAACATACACATAAAACGCATAACAGGTACTACACGTTTGGATTACATCTGTCTGTAATGGTCTATCATATGCGACGCGTTGTGCTCATGCGCTTAAAAACATAAGAATATATAGGTTCCGCAGGTGACAGAGATTGCCCCTTCCACAGTCTGAAACATAAACAACCAATCCGGGATTCCATCTGTACTATGTAGCATTTTCTGACTATCGTCGAGACCATTTCTCCACAGAGGATATCCCTGCGTATTTCCGCTCCCATCCATTGCTAGTACTTCATGAAAAGGAACATTAAAAAACGATGCGAATGCGTCATACTTGAGCGCTTTTACCGAAAGAACTACAATCACCTCACACTACTCGTTCAAACAGTTTCTTGTTCACTATCAACGTTCACACTTCGCATTACAGACTCTAGCGATCTCTGTTTCATTAACTATATGAAAAAACGAAAACGGGTTTGTCAAAACAGAACTGTATCAAAGATATATCCTAGCAGTCTCATTCAGCATTCGATTATGCCTATCAGAAGAACAATACCTGAATCTGCCAAATGGGCTACAGTCCTCTTCCAGTTTGTCCCTACTTTGTTTTTTTGATGGATCTGTACTGGTTTCATAGGTGGTTTTATCGATTTAAGTGATTCCATTTTTATTAACCGTAAGCGTGTGGGTGATTTAATGTTCTTTTCGTTTCTTTTGCTGAAAAATAGGAGATACTTTGGCGATCCCGTTGCCTCAGCATTCATAAGCTGACTAAGGCACCCGTATGCTAGAACAAAATCTTCCTCGAAAGTGTCGGTCTGCATGTCAAAGATTTTCTTCATTGTAAAATCTGACATTGGTCCATTGCGTACAACGCACAGAAAGAGAAATCTTATTTCCTCCTCGTCAACTTTAAACATCTGACGATGATAAGCGCGGGGTCAAATCATCACAGTAACGTCACAGGTCTACAATCCCAACAAAACTGATAAGCAAATAAACGGATAAACTATCATCAACTTCACAAATCCGCCTTACAGTACGGTACATAAATAGCCATCTTTTTGGTATTGAAAAAAGGTGAAACGAACGCGTTAACAAGATTGCACATCACACTTCGTAGGGACGGCATAATTAAAAGAAAACTCGCGAAGCTATTAAAATACCTCGGACTCTGCTGCAGAAATTTGTTGCTTTGTCAATGATTTCAGGCGAAGTTTAAGAGAAGTAATCTGTTTCGATAGCCGCGCTTTACGCTTTAATTCGTGCTGATAAAATAATGAACCTTCGGAAGCACTACGAATCACGGAATTGATCTTCTCCTAAGAAATAAAATGGAGGTGAAAAAAATGCATGCTAATTTATACAAAATATATAACCTTGTCCAAACCGGACATTCCTGCCTTGTTATCATTCAATTCCATTTTTGTCCGAGAAAATTTCTGTCACATAACTTTGAAGAAATAACGCAGACACATCCAAGCCTAAGAGTCAATGGCACAGAACTTAAGTATTTAACCGCAATGCACTCACTGCTGCAAGTAATCTGTAAATTAAATCGAAAAACAATTATTTCAGATAAACCATACATGTTGAAAATTTAAGCCAATCAAACCTGAGTGTCTTCGCGAGTGGTTATCGGTTCCGTTATAATACGACATCACTTCTGCCCGTCGTGCAGTCAATAGATTATAATGAAGCGACCGTAATGGATGTGCGATTTGAGGCGTAAAGTGGAAGTAGAATCCACTCTGATGGAACCCGTTCCGCGTAACAGAATGGATTACCCTACACTTTACAAACACTGCATCGCCAGGTCTGAGAATTTCACAACACATTCACGTTTCACGATGCCAAATCACTGAAGATATACTGGTCTTGTCCATCGGCTGAGATTGTCACCAACTGAAACGAAAAAACATTTCTGAGAAAGTAGCGATTTCGCAAGTCGAATTCACGCTTGTCAAAAGTTTTTTACGCAAATGAAGGCTATATCGCCGATAAGCATGTGCACCTCCCATTTCCTACCGTGTTCTTACAACCCACAGGATCGCGTAATCCACAGGTATAACTCATTTGTCGGAAATACTCCAAAATTGACCAATTTACTGATTTGTACTTAATGCTCGTTTCTGCTGCAGATTTGATGATTTTAACTTAATTTAACAATCAAAAAAAAATTTAGTTTCAAATCTCTCCGCCGTGAGTCATTTTCATGGCACAGATTGTTCTGCTGGTCAATCTTAAATTTGTCTCAACTGTGTCTGAAACATTCGTCTTTAAGCGACAAATAAGGTTCAGCAAGTTCTTGAGCATTATAAACCATAGAACATAGGCAATATCCTGATGGTAGCACAGCCGATCATTCGTAAGATTACAGGAAAAACCGCCAGTCTACAAGAATTCCGATTTCAGACCGTTTGATCATTCAAAACATCCGCAATTATTAAACATCGCCCTCCAAACAGGCCGAAGTTTAAGGCGCTCTTTTTCCCGCCACGCGCAGGCTGCAACTATTTTTTACACAGGCAGGGGAACAAATTTTAAATCCTCGATGATAATCCAGCCCAATTTCATAAAATATCCCGCGGATTCTGCCAATTGTTTATTAAAAAACATAGGCGGCCGCGAGTTTCATTTTTGCCCTCCTGAAACTGGAGATACATACCAATGGTTATCCTTTCTTATGGCAAAGATTTTCCGTGCAACAACGATCATTGGAAAGAACTTATTGCTTGAAAGTCCCCCATTGTGCGAAAAAGCATTTCTTGAAAAAGTAGCAATTTCGCAAGTGGAGTTCATGCTTGTCAACCGTTATCTATGTAAATGATGACTGTCAGCGATAAGCACGTGCGCCCCGCGTGTACTACCGTATTCGCACCATTCGCTGGACCGCGTAATCCGCAGGTATATTTTGATTGTCGGTATAACTCTGAAATTGATTAATTTACTGATTCGCACTCAATATTTGCCTACGCTGTAGATTTGCTAATTTTCAGTTTGTTTCACAATCCTTTAAATCTCTCCCACTTGAATCACATTCATTGCATAGATTGTGCTGCTGGTCGTTCCTGACTTAATCTCAACGCTGTCTGAATTATTTGCTTTCAAATGACAAATTAAGTTTTAAACAAGATTTTGAACGTGGAGAAAGCAGTATTCAATGTTCCTCGTACAATACTCGGCGCTCATTCTTTTATCGAGCACTGGTT